CTACTTCACAGGTCCAAAACAACATTCCGTAGTTGTCTCGCAAATATCTCATGTCGCGCTTTATGCACAACTCGGAGGTAAATGCATTTATTCCTTGCCAGATTACTAACAGCATTTGGGACTACCACAAGAAAAGAATCCGCCCGGCCAGACTGCTCGGCAGGACAACTGGGCTCGCTGCACACATTTCACCTTAGAGGTTCAACCCGGAGTTCAACAACGTGCTTGCTCGTCTCCCAGGGCCTACCACGTACCTCAAAGACACTGACTTCCTCCTTAGACACCACTGGGCCGACCAGTCGTCACACAGGCCGGCACCACTGTTGGTGCCGCACCACCACCAGTGTGCCGCTGTCCGGAGAGGAGGCAGTCACCGGAGGCGCCACCGCTATCAACGGCCGGGGTCAGCCGACTGAGCGGAGCCGGTGTGTGGCGCACCCGTGACCGGACCGGCGGCCGGCCTCTGCGCCACGCGACCCCGATCTCTCCCGTGACCGCGGCCGCGCTGACCGGACCGGTGTGGCACGCTACCCCGGCTGCCCGTCCGCTGACGGCCCGGTGATCTCCGCTGACCGTCTGCTGATGGTTCACTGATCTCCGCTGACCGTCCGCCGACGGCCCGCTGACTGACCACTGACGGCCGGCTGATCTGCGATAACGGCCCGCTGATCTCCTCTGACCGTCCGCTGAGGGCCCGCTGGCGGCCCGCTGGCGGCCCGCTGATCTCCGCTGACCGTCCGCTGACGGCCCGCTGGGCGTCTGCTGACCTTCCGCTGACGGCCTGGTGGCCGTCTGCTGACCAATATCGTGCGTGTGACTCACTGGCAGGATCATCAGTGAGTCACTGCCTCCGCCGGGTGGTCGAATCAATATCTGGTCACAAAGGTTATGACGCCGGTGTGGTGGGTGCAGTCCATAAGAAAATATATATATATTTTTTAAAACTCATCAGCAAAAATTGCTTATCAGAGCACCAATCCTAATCACGTTCATGCGTTGAATCACACATTTTTTCGCTGCCATACCGAAGGTCGCAGTGATGAATCGTTCTGCATTGGAGCAGCGCTCAGCCATAAAAATTACGCCTGCGCAAGGACAGCCTGCTTATAAGCATCACAAAAAAACTCCTGGGAGTGTGGTAACTTAACTCTGAATGAAGGCCCGGGTCGAGAATGAGCGTGGGCGTTCGAAGACGGCGGAGGGCCCCAATCTCCTGGCAAGTGCTGGGCGGCCCTGGTCACCAATGACCGCAGGTCATGATGCCCGAGGAAACGCCTCGTCAAAAGGCCGGGGTGTCAAAAGTGGCGGTACTGTGTGAGGTCCGAGGAACGGTCTCTGGAAAAGGACGGTAACTGTGCTGAAAATTGAGGGAAGTTTCGCCCCGCTGCATACACAAATACTTTTTTGAAAGTGAAACGTTTGTTACTTTGAACTGCATCGCATTTCGAGATCACACCGCTCGCATATGAGATCGTGTGTAGCTGTCTGACCGGAGATACAACAAGCTTAGTTGGGATGTTGATGTATAACTTGTTGCTGAGAAGAAATGTTTGGAGAGCTCATGAGATCATGGCCTTTTGTACCTTAAAGACGTTTGAGTTATTGGATGTAACAGACCCTAAATATACATAAAGGAGAAGTATATCATAATATGTGTAATAGACAAATATGCAAAATACACATATATAAACACACACACACACACACACATATATATATATATATATATATATATATATATATATATATATATATATATATATATCTCTCTCTCTCTCTCTCTCTCTCTCTCTCTCTCTCTCTCTCTCTCTCTCTCTCTCTCTCTCTCTCGTATGCATAATGTACTAAATATATCTCAGACAAACAGACGCTCACAGCGATCAATTAAAAAAAGCCGTAAGTTGCAGTTTTGCTTCATAAAACTCGCCACAGGGATTATTACAGATAGCTTAAATCACTGCCCAGCACCGTGGAGCTCATAACGACGGATCGTAAACGTACCCCTGAGTATTCCGATAGTGAGGTGCACCTCTTACGACACGTTGTGTTGCCGCGACGTTGGTGGCAGTCTTTGCAGTGACCAGCATCTGGCGACTGATGGCGCCAATACCGTACACCGGGCAAGTCATGTGGTGACTGACAGCGCCAGCACTGCATGCTGGGTATGCCACTTACTGACTGACGGCGCCAGTACTACATACCGGGCATGTCATCTGGTGACTGACGGTGCCAGCACTGCAGGCTGGGCGTGTCATCTAATGGCTGATGGCGCACTTCATGCTGGGTAAGGCATCTGGTGACTGACGGTGCCAGGACTGCAGGCTGGTTATGTCATTAGGTTGCTGACGGCGCCAGTGCTGCATACCGGGTACGTTATAGGGCGACTGATTGCGCCGGCACTGCACACCGGAAATATCATGTGGTGATTGGCGGCGCCAACACTGCTTGATGGGTATGTCAGAGTGCCATTCGGAGAGTCCTCGGCATACGCCATCAAACCCTGACAACAAGCCTGACTGTTGTGAGCTGACCCCACGGTGGTCATTGTACGGGATTGTCTAGTGACGATAACACTGGTACTCACCGATCATGTCATTTCTACTAGGCGACTAGATCACCGGTCTTACGACTCAACAGGTTACGCTTTAGTATTCAGCCACCGCCTGCGCTACAGGTATCCCTCAGTGTGACGTCATCCTTCCAGCTGCTCCGGTCTGCTCTCACGCGCCACGTCGCCAGTCGGTACCGGCAACCGGCAGCCTCGAGGGCCCGCGGTGACGTCACCAGCCAGCATGGAGGTCACGGGCGGTCACGATCGCTTCAGTCAGCTCGGGCGCCGGCTCGAATGAGCACATGTCGCAGGGAGCAGTCATCTTTTGACTACAACAGACATGCATATCAGATCACGCTGGATCGCACCGGAGATAGCCGCAAACCCATAGACGCATACGTGCAAGGACGGCCGGGAGGGAGGCACGATGCGGGCGCGAGCTCTGGTTAAATATGCTGGAATGCTATCCCAGTAATGAAGACGCTGGGCTATAGCGCTGTGATATGATGGCACAGAACATGGGAGTCTAAGGCCGGTTTGACAACCATAGAAAGCCGACTCCAGCTGCCCTGAAAACGAAGGTAACCATTTACCTCTACCGAGAGAACTAAAAAAAGCTGGGCAAGACATCCGGCTGGTTCCGGGACCCGGGGCAAACAATGCATCGTGGGATTATACCCATTCCAGGACTGCTGTGTGGTTGTGCCACTTGTAACTGATTATCACAAATGATTGATTATCAGCGTGGCGACAAGAGATGCAAAAGAGCAGTACAAAAGTCGGAGGCTGAAGTTTAAATAATGTCACAGACGTGGGACTTACCACCAAAAGGCACGTCCGCGAAGCCGTCGCTGATGACACGCTCCTTGTAGATATGCGCAACTTGATGGACATATGGTGGCTTTCCATCGGATTCTCAGGGCGGGAAAGTGGTAAATGACTAGATTGACGTGCACTTTGGTGTAACAAAAAGCTGCTGGCGGTTGACTAATCATGTTGGGCTTACAAGCTGCATATCGAATAATTCAATACACTCTTGCGCACTGAGCCAGCCAAATCCCGTAGAACACTTGACACATGCTCAAAATGTGCTCTGGAGATCACCCCAGCTGTGAAGTTCCGCACTTCCTGCAATTTGGCGACGACCACTCAGCCCACACCCCCATAAATCTGACGGCAATAATAGGCAGGGGATCAGGGGCGGCGCCACAAATTTTGAGTTGGGAGGAGGGGGGGGGAAGAATTTGTAAAGTGACCTCCTGGACAAAGCCCGGCCTCTTCGCGGGTGGCCCTCATGGGCAGCGTCGTATTCATAGATGAGACAATACTAAAAACCTTGCTGCTCGCAGAATAAGCAAAATAATGAAAAGACACATGAGTTGATATTTCGTCTGCATGTCTTTATCAACACGAGTATCAGTCAAGGCAAGGCACTGCTCACATTCTTAGTGATCAACATGACCGATTATACAAATTTGATGCGTGCTAGCTTAAAATCGTAAACATGTTTGTTCAAGGTCTAACGTGCGATGCGCGATGCCTATTTTATTGAAATCGTTTCCATGTATAAGTGATGCGTGATGCCTGTCTAAATCGTTGCATGTACACATATTCTCGATTTGTTTTAACTCTTAGTTAAACATGCACTGCATCGTAGTAATGGCTGGCAATTGCTCCTTGTTTAATCACCTGAACGTTGGTGACATGTAGAAATAATGGCTTGCTGTTTTAAAGTTAATCTGAAAAATCCACGAGGATAGGCAGGTAATTTTGCATTTACCACTGATGTTCGTTTTGATGAAGGCATGTAACCGGAACATCAACTCATCTATCTCTCCATTCTTCTTGCTATTCTACGGGGAATAAGGCCATAGGTACTGTCTTATCTTAATGCACAATGCTCCCCGCAAATGCACTCAGCAACTTACATAATTTTTATGGTGTTGTATCACAACGGCACGCAACCAGCTAGCGCACGCTGTTCTCCAGACGATGCTTGCGTTGATAATGTGAAATCAGGTTCGGCCGATGAGTCACCATGGGCATCAAGTACTAAACGGTATGCAACCGTCTGCACTCAATGCTTTGTTTAGTAATGAAAATACGACTCACTGCATCTAATTCAGGAGAATGGCGATGGCTTTAGTAAAATGTGAAGCACAGCATCATGTATTCAACCATTGGCAAAGCTGACGGAAAGGAATTTGGCGTCATAGAACCCACCCACGACGTTTCTGACGCCGAAGAGTCGAACGAGGATCCGGCGAGCAACGGCCGCCATCTACCGGCCTCGGGAGCGCACACCAGCGTCGCCTGTGGCCGTGTTGCCCCACCAGCAGTACGGCGACGCGTCGCCAGGGGTCGACGGTGCCCGTCGCCCGTGGGCGCGGGTTCCCAGCGCCGCCGGTGGCCGGCCGGCCGGGCGTCACGCCCCAGACCAGGTGTGCCGCTCGCGGCGGCGACAGGCACGGTACCTCTCCCACACGGTCACGTCGCGCCACGCCTCCGCCGGTGCACACAGCGTCTGGTGACTGGCGGTCGGCGTACCCCGCTCGGCCGGAGCCATGCCGGCTGGACGGGCGGTGTTCTGGGCGGCGGCCGCCGCAGTCCTGAGTGGGGTCGCGGCGCAGAAGGCCACCGAGTGTAGCCCCGGCCCGTCCGTGGCCGCCACGGTGTTTGCCGTGCTGCTGCTGCTCTGCCTGGGCGTACTCGGATTCGTGCTGTATCAATACGTCTGGAAGCCGCGCCACTGTGAGTACGCCGGTGAGACACGCGCGCTCGAGCGCAGCGGCGCGGGGCCGCAGTGGGGCGCGTATGCAGGTGTGTGGGTGGAGAGCAGGGAGAGTCGGGGACTGGGTGGCAATCTAGATGCTCATCTTGATGAGGGACCTCCTTTTACCACTGGAAACATTGAGGACAAAACGCTGTTGGCAATGCAAACATGCTAATGCTGTTGGGAACTTCTGGACTGTGATGTGGCATCTTAGATATTGGCATCAAACGATGATATTGCAACATCAGATACCCGATGAAAGCTCGGAGGCCATCCAAGGTCGTTCGCGCGCTGGTGATAACCCGCAATATTGCCGGGCGGACTGTACGCACATGACAGTGGTCGCCTCCGGCGGTCGTCCGGCATTGGGACGATCAACCATCTGGCGTGTGATAGCTGATAGACTAATAGATAGTCAGCGGTGCGCCTGTCGAAACAGCTCCACAGCGTACTTGGAAATAGTACTTTATAACAGAAAGGCCAGAGAATGGTGTCAGGGCGTTCCAATTGTGGGCGTTTTCTCTCTGGTTCGGTTAACATGACCTTGGACAAAACCAAGCCGGTCACGAGTTTTTGTCGGGCTCGGGCTGGACGTCAGTCAGTATGCATGGCATAGGCTTGTTATGGTCACGCTTCTCACCTCCAGCCCTTGTTTTGGGCACGTTTTCTTTGCTGGATCGCGTGCTTTGCAGTATCAGGTGCTGTATTCAAGAGAGTGGGAAACGTAGCTTGCTGGCTGTTGCAGATGTCCTTTAAGTCATCTATTGCACGTTCGTTCTGGTCGCTCCCACATTTGCCATTCAGGTGGTTTCTAAAAAATTGACGGCTCAAAAAACAGCTGCATTGTTTGCACCAGTCTATGGCTGGCTAGTCCACAGCTTATAGGTGATCAGATGTGACTGCTTTTGTGAGGATAGTGCGATGGTTAGCACGCGCTCGGGTGGGGGAGATCAAGTTGACCACCTTGAAGGTTTTTCAGAATGGTTTCCAAACGGTGCGGCGCAGCCGCGCCAAATTTTGCAAAGCTCTTGAAAATTGAATAGCGGATTTTTTGGGTTCAAAAATTTAGATGTACCCTGTAAGGTCACTGACCTATGGCAGGTCAAAGCCAGGCCATAGTATCAGCGAAGTCAATTTCTAAGGAATCTTTCAATCTGATGCAACAACTGAGTGTTTGACAAAGCTATACATCTTTGAGATGCTTTGTTAGGCAACACAGACATTGAATGAGCAAATAACGTTGACCTAAGGTCAGGTATGAAGGTCAGACCAAGGTAAAAACCAACCTACTTTATTTCTCTAAGGCTTGCTGTATGGGGTAGTTTCCGGTGCTCATTTTAAATTCATTGATACCAGAAACCGCATCATACATCCCCCATTGACTTCTTAGAGCTTAGAATAGGTCATTCACCCAAGATGACGCAGGTCAACATTTTTTTAGGAACATACTGCCGAGCGTAATCTTTGTCGCTTATTCAAATGCAAAACTCAGGGCAGTTTTGTATAATTTTGGTCACACCTTCAAAAGGTGAAGCAAGGTCACTGGTATCAAATGAGCTTGTGGCCTTTTGCTTAGTTATCTAGGTTCTGGGCACTTTAGAGACCATTCTGGAATTATACTTTGTTTGACCTTATTTGACCCGAAAGTCATGACCTAGTGACTTAAAACTCTGGCCTAAGAAAGTTCACGTACAGATCGACACGCCCTGCAAATTTCGTGCCTCCAGCTTTAATAGTTTCCGAGATTTTAGGGGGGGTCAGATTGACTCTCCCGCCCGAGAGAAGGGTATCTAGCCGGCCACACGGGCGCGCGTTAAATAAAGTGTTTCACATTTTGAACACAAATAACCACATTGGAGATCATTTGGCGCAGTTCACAGCCCTGCCGTTTCGAAGATGCCCTCCCTCTATCCTCCCTCGACCCCTGCCCCTCTAGTTGCTGAGCTACACGCGGGCGAAGATGAGCAGATTATTTCGTTGCAGACTATTTCAAGGTCACCCAGGCATCCATGACGCCATAATAACGTTATTCAAATTTTACCATTCCATTGGGCTTGCGGTGATTAAGGTAAACATGTAAGTGTCTAGTCGTTCAAATTTGACGTTAGTGAGCACGATTTCCAGACATAACGACAGTCAACTAGCTCTCAATCAATACTGTGCGAGGTACGATGATGCAATCAAACAATGACGTATTGAGGAGCATATTTACTAAATGGAGAAAATGTGTTCTCTAGAGCAGTCGTTTCCACTTAACAGCATATTTTATAAGGTTTCAAGAGAGTTTACTGAACCGTACATGGTGCCTACCTCAGCATCTTCAAAGGTGGTATATTCCCTTTAGGACGCGCCCTGGTGGCCGGATGAATACCATACGCTGGGCTGGGGGTTATTTGATTCACCTGAGATTTCAAACAGCAAGAGTACTAGAGGTACCCAATTCATGATGTGAAATGGCCCGTATGTGAAATCACTTCTGTCAAAATTTGAGATTCATAGGTTATGGCATTCTGGTCAGATAAGGTCAAATAAGATTAAGCTCCTGATTGATATCCAAGGTGCCCCAGACCTTCTTATGTAACCGCTTTGAACCTACATATCTGTTCTAAGCGAAAACTCACAGGTGCTCATTTTAGGTCACTGACATTGTTTGACCTTTAGAAGGCCATGGCGTCCCAAAACCTACGACATTATTTCAATTTTTGAATTTTAACAAGCGTCCAGGATTACGGTAAGCGGTTTGTTGCTAGAAAAGCAAAAGGTCGATCTGAGTCGCTTCAAGGTCAGTGGCTTACTCCGACTTCAACAATAAATTCGCCGAAGATATCTGTTGAGGTCCCCGTTATCAAGAATTTCGAAATGCGCATCAGAATTTACCCCTGAAAGTAAGTTCTTCAGCAGGAAAAGACTATTTTGGCATTGGTTTAAACCTCACACCTTTCCCAAGGTCAATGAACTTTGTTGCAATCCTAAACACACCTGCCATAATACCTAAATGCACTTGTTTAAGAAACTAGCTTATGGACGTATGACATGGTACAACACGTTGCCGCATCAGATTGAACGATTCCCTAGAAATTTCCCACGCTGACAGTCATGGCCTGACGTGGACCTGTCATAGGTCAGCGACCTTACTAGGCATAATGAATTTTGGTATCACAAGATCTGCTTTTCGATGGCCTACAGCTATACTAAGTTTGGCGCGGCTACGCCACACCTTTCGGAAATTAGTTTGGAAAATCCTTCTGGGTTAAAATTGACCCCCACCCGAGGGCGTCTCAAGCCGCGTGTCCGGCAAACCAGTGATATGGGCTTTGATTCCCACGGTAACCGCCCTCCCTGCCAGGGTAAGAGCCAGGTGACGCAGCGCAGCAACTGAGTGCGTCGAAAAGCGTCAATGACACACGACGGTGTTTCAGTTCCAAGGCTATAGCTGTCAGGACTAGGAACGCGATCACTGATTACATAGTCGATGTTCAGCGTTGCCAGATTTTTCTTTCCTCCATAAGCGAGTTACCTGCGCGGAAAAAGGCATTGAAGGGGATCACGATTCGCGACCGAGTAATCTATCCATTGCCATGGAAGTGCACTCCTCCAAAGTCCTATAATATCCTCTGTATTTGTATGCGATCTTTCTTTGAAGACAAAACGCCAGGACACACGCTTCCAGGCTAGATTGACTAGGGCTTTTTCAGGAGGCTTCACGCTTTGCGTAGCCCCGCATCGAGTAATAATCTGAACCTACGTGTTCCATGTGAGATTTTTCCTCCTACCCACCATACCCACGACCAGTACGCCTCTTTTTAGATGGGTTTTGTCAGCTCTTTGTTTGAATTAACAAAGAAGCACCTTGAAGGAACACTACACACACCTGTTTTTCATGTCTATTTTACCTTATTCTCAGCTTTCCTCACTGGCTGATGTCATTTCACACATGTTAATGCTCTTCACGACAAAAATCTTCTCTGCTCAAAGCGCAGGCATGCACGGGAGCCAAGGTGGACACAAGTCACTGAAAAGTGTTGATTTGGAGAAGTCTAACCACCACGAGATTTGGTGTACTACGGTGTATGTTTGACTAACTCCATGCTGATATATCTTCCATCTTGTTTTCAACGAAACTTAGTCTTAAAATGTCATGACATTCTCACACGCCCAAGATCAGTTTGGAAGCGCCAAGAAAATGCGTGCATAATGCATGCCTTGAAGTGGATGCGTGCAACTAAATCAACCAGCTCATATCAATTTTTTTTTAGAATAGTTTGCGGCAAGCAACAAGCGCATAACCTGAGAACCATGAGTGCGTACACGTGTCTAGATGTAGGCTCACATATATGACATACACTATTTTTGTGTGGAAATATGGTCTTCGCCTCCACCTTAGATTGACTTTACGACGTTCAGCTGATGGTGAGAAGGCTGTGTGGATCGTACTTGTGGCATGTCACATCAGGTGGTCAGAAGGCTGTGTGGATCGCACTTGTGGCATGTCACGTCAGGTGGTCAGAAGGCTGTGTGGATCGCACTTGTGGCATGTCACGTCAGGTGGTCAGAAGGCTGTTTGGATCGCGCTTGTGGCATGCCACGTCAGGTGGTCAGAAGGCTGTGTGGATCGCACTTGTGGCATGTCACGTCAGGTGGTCAGAAGGCTGTGTGGATCGCACTTGTGGCATGTCACGTCAGGTGGTCAGAAGGCTGTTTGGATCGCGCTTGTGGCATGCCACGTCAGGTGGTCAGAAGGCTGTGTGGATCGCACTTGTGGCATGTCACGTCAGGTGGTCAGAAGGCTGTGTGGATCGCACTTGTGGCATGTCACATCAGGTGGTCAGAAGGCCGTGTGGATCGTACTTGTGGCATGTCACATCAGGTGGTCAGAAGGCTGTGTGGATCGCACTCGTGGCATGTCACGTCAGGTGGTCAGAAGGCTGTGTGGATCGTACTTGTGGCATGTCACGCCAGGTGGTCAGAAGGCTGTGTG